GGTAGTGGCTGGCTGAGAGGCCAAGGGCCCGGAGTCCCTAGCGGCCAAGCCTGCAAGGTGGCAGGCTCCTTGGGGCTGGGCCAGGGCCCCCCATGCCCTGACGCTCGTGTTGTTGCAGCGGCGTGGCATGAAGGGCAAGGCCCGCAAGCTCTTCTACAAGGCCATCGTACGCGGCAAGGAGATGATCCGGATCGGGGACTGCGCCGTGTTCCTCTCCGCCGGCCGCCCCAACCTGCCCTACATCGGCCGCATCCAGAGCATGTGGGAGTCGTGGGGCAACAACATGGTGGTCCGAGTCAAGTGGTTCTACCACCCCGAGGAGACCAGCCCCGGCAAGCAGTTCCACCAGGGCCAGGTGAGCCTGCGGTCCCCCCCATTCCGGGGGGGCGAGGGGCAGCCTGGGGACCCCCCGACCCCTCCGGGCCAGGCATTCCAGCTGCTGGAGAATCAGTGCCCCCGCCCGGTGGGTGAGCCCTGTTCTGGGACCTGGGGTCAGGTGTGGCAGCCCCCAGGCTCACTTACAGCTCCTTCTCTGTCCGCCACATAGCACTGGGACCAGAAGTCCAGCCGAAGCCTCCCGGCGGCCCTGCGGGTCTCCAGCCAGAGGAAGGACTTCATGGAGGTAGGCGGTGGTGGTGAGGGGTGGGGGTGGCTGGCTCCTTCCCGGCAGCTCAGGCAGGGCCAGACTCGGCATCTGCGCCTCTGTCCCCCGTGGTCTGCCTCAGCCCCTGACCTGTCCCTGCCACTCTGAGTGCCTGGCTCCTGTTCTCTGTCTCTCCCGATCTCTGCATCTGGCTCTGGGGTTCTCCTACTCTCCCGGTGTCCTTCTCTGAGTCTCCGGCCAGTCTCGTCCTCTGACTCTGGGTCTCTCCTGGTTTCCGGGTCTCTCCCAACCTCTGTCTTTCAGTCTCTGTGTCTCTCTCGGTCTCTGTCTCTCAGGCTCTGGGTCTCAGTCTTTGAATGTCTCTCAGTTTCTGTCTCTTTTGGGCTCTATCTGTCTTGGTCTCTGGGGGCTTATCTGTCTTGGTCTCTGGGTCTCAGTCTGTGTGTCTTTCTGGGTCTCAGTCTCTGGGTCTCTCGGTCTCTTGGTCTCTATCTCTTAGTCTCTGTCTTAATCTCTGGGTCTCTCTCAGTCTCTGTCTCAGTCTCTGGGTCTCTCTTAGTCTCTGGGTCTCAGTCTCTGGGTCTCTGTCTCAGTCTCTGGGTCTCTCTCGATCTCTGTCTCTCTTGGTCTGTCTCTCATTCTCCATGTCTCTTAGTCTCTGGGTCTCTCTTGGTCTCTGTCTCTCTTGGTCTTTGGATCTCTGGGTCTTTGGATCTCTTGGTCTGTCCTGTCTCTCATCTGCTTTCCATCTCTCAGTCTCTGTCTCTCTACTGTTGGTGTGTCTCTCCCTTGGTCTCTGTCTCAGTTCCTGGGTCTCCCTCACCCTGTCTCTGTCTCTCCCTTGGTCTCTGTCTCTCTCAGTCTCTCTCTCTTGTTGGTCTGTCTCTCCCTTGGTCTCTGTCTCAGTTCCTGCATCTCCCTCACCCTCTGTCTCTGTGTCTCTGTCCTGGCCCCCGTGGCTCCCTGGGGCTCCCTCGGCCTCTGTGTCCCCCACCTGCCGTCCTGATGTGCCTGTTTGCCTGCAGCGCGCGCTGTACCAGTCCTCGCACGTGGACGAGAATGACGTGCAGACAGTGTCGCACAAGTGCCTGGTGGTGGGCCTGGAGCAGTACGAGCAGATGCTGAAGACCAAGAAGTACCAGGACAGCGAGGGCCTGTACTACCTTGCGGGCACCTACGAGCCCACCACAGGCATGATCTTCTCCACGGACGGCGTGCCCGTGCTCTGCTGAGCCTGCCAGGCCCTGCAGGCACCCAGGGACCCCTCTCCATCACTGCCACGGCGCGGGGACCACGTGCGTTGTGTGCATGTGAGCGCGCCTGCGGGCGTGTGCATGGGGCCAGGTATGCACGTGGACGCCCGGGCGTGTGTGTGCATGTGTGTGCCCGTGTGCATGCCACACGCCTCCCGCCCCACCTTCTCACCCCTCAGCGCCCCGAGGACAGGGGCCCCTCTCAGCTGTCAGGGTATGGCTCTGCCGTCCCCATCAGGGCAGCCTCGGCCGGAACCGGCCCCTTCCTACCCAGCACGTTGCAAGCACTTGGCCAGGCCGGCCCTCCAGGCTGCTGCTGCGTGGGGCCCCAGGGGCCCCGAGGCCCATGCAGACTGGGGATTTGGTGGGGAGGGGGCTTCTAAGGAACCAAACTGACGCTTGCTCTAGGCCTCCCGGGCACCCTTAGCACGGAGCCCACCCCATAGCCTCCCAACGTTGCATGGGACAGGGCAGTCCAATGCCAGCCGGCCTCCCTGACCGTGCCAGGCGTCCGGCTCCTACTTTCTCAGGATGGCCTGGACTTGGGGAACAGAGCTGGGTCGGGGTGCAGCCCGGGAGCATCAAAGGCGCCAGGTGGAGGGGGCCCAGCAAAGGCCCACCCTGGCCCAAACCCTCACACTACAGAAAACCCCAATGGTGCTGAAACCCTTGCCCGGCCATGTCCAGCCCCTCCCCACCCAGGAGGGAGGTGGCACTTCTTAACCTGTACAGTTTTATTGTACCAAGAAAGACTTGCCCCCGCCCCTGTATCATAAGCCTTTAAATGGAGTCAACTTTTTAATTATATATATAAAGATAAATATATATAAATATATATAAATATAAACTTTTTAAAACTGTGAAAAATAGCTATGAAATTATAAAAAAAAAAAAAAAAAGCGAACACATTCTGACGTGCAGAATATTATTTTTTATTTCCTGTTAGATTGTAGTGTCTAGCACTGGCCTCACCGGCCTCCCAGTTCCCAGCACACTCCCTGCCCAATCCCCAACCCCGCCAAGTGTACTGTACTCGCCCCCCAGGTTAGATAAGAGTTAGTTAGGGAGAGAAGAGGGAGAGAGGCAGGAGCCGGCCCGAGCCCGTGGTCCCTGCTTGGGCCCCAGAAAGCACTTAACCAGGCCCCAAGCCTTCCAGGGAAACCAAGGTCTCGACCAGACAATCTTGAGGGAAGGAAGCCAGACTTTGGGTTTGTTTTTTGGGGGAATTATTGTTTTTTAAGTTTCTTTTGGAATTTTGTTGGCAAATTCTGTGTGATCTTTTTTCATAAAAAAAGAAAAGCAAAGAAAAAGATTTAATTGGAAAAATAAAATTGTTTGGAGTGGTTTATTTCAGGGGCTGGAGCAGGGGTGGTATGTATCTGGAGGGGGATTCTGCCGCATCGGGGCAGCGAGAAGCAGGATTCAGCTGGAGGTTGGGTGCCACCCAGACAGGGAGAGTGACCACATGCAGCCATCTAAATCTGAGCTAATCGGCTGGGCGAGGTGGCTCACGCCTGTAATCCCAGCACTTTGGGAGGCCGAGGCGGGCGGATCACGAGGTCAGGAGTTTGAAACCAGCCTGACCAACATGGTGAAACCCCGTCTCTACTAAAAATGCAAAAATTAGCCAGGCGTGGTGGCGGTGGATGCCTATAGTCCCAGCTACTCAGGAGGCTGAGGCAAGAGACTCACTTGAAGCCAAGAGACAGGTTGCAGCGAGCCAAGATCGCGCCACTACACTGTAGCCTGGGCGACAGAGCGAGACTTCACCTCAAAAAGAAAAAAAAAAGCAAAGCTGCATCTGCATGCTCCCAGCCCTGCCTACAACGGAAGAAAACGACACTAATGGTAAGTAAGAGTGGCCTGAAGCCCTCACCCAGATGGGGGTGGACAGCATCTCTGCACTGGGGCCTGGGAAAGCTGTAGGTCGGGGTCTGGCTGCCCAGCGACTATGGCCTGGTCAGTGTGGGTGGCCAGCAGAGGACATTTGGGGCTTTGTGAAGAGGGTAACCCAGGGAGGATAGCTAGCTGGCCTCAGGCAAGGGAAGGGCCCGTCGTGGGCTCTGGGAAACACTCTGGTGTCACCTGGCACAGACTTGGCCCATCTGGCCACACGCCTGGGCCCCAGGGAGGATGCCTGCCCTGTGGGTCCTGACGGCTGCAGACCTGGAGCATGTGGTGGCCCTCGTGCCTTCCTTTAAGGGACCCACGTCAAAATGTGGACTAACCCCACTCCTTGGGGAAACTAAGGACAGAACAGGCTGGGCGTGTTGGCTCATACCTGTAATCTGGCACATTGGGAGGCCGAGGCAGGACGAACACTTATTGAGGCCCAGAGTTTGAGACCAGCCGTGATGTCACCACTGTACTCCAGCCTGGGCAACAGAGCAAGAGCCTGACTCAGAGAAATTTTAAAAATGAGGCACAGGCCAGGTGTCGTGGCTCACACCTGTAATCCCAGCACTTTGGGAGGCCGAGGCAGGTGGATCACTTGAGGTCAGGAATTCAAGACCAGCCTGGCCAACATGCCAAAACCCTGTCTCTACCAAAAATAATTAGTCTGGCATAGGAGCATGCACCTGTATTTCCAGCTACTTGGGAGACTGAGGCAGGAGAATCACTTGAATCCAGGAGGCGTAGGTTGCAGTGAGCCAAGACTACCACTGCACTCCAGCTTGGGCGACAAAGCAAGAGTCCATCCCAGAAATAAAAAAAAAAAAAAAAAAGGGCACAGAACAGTGTAGGAATTTATCCAAAATGCACAGGTCAGCGAAAGGGCTGAGGCTGAAGGCCAGGAGCCTCCAACTCATAGGACACAGTGCAGTCCCCAAGAGGCTGGGGCCAAGCCTCACTTGCTCTGTTTCCCTCTTCAAATGGGCTGCATGTGGCCATCCTCCCTGATCCTCATGAAGACAGGGATCATCAAGGTGAGCTACAAACCCCAAGTGCTTCCAGCTCCCACCCCACCACCCAGCCCTACCCAGAAACCAAGCCTACCCAGTGTGGGGACACCCTCCTGCTCCCTGACCCACCTCACCCATGGGAAGACCGAGGCCCGGCTTACGCAAGGCGGGTTGATTCCCACTGGCATCCTGCGTTGGCCGTCCCAGCCCCCGGCCATGCACAAACTCTGCTTCAAGGCGTTGGTGCAGCAGTCTGCCTTCATCTTTTAATGGCCAGTGCGGTACAGTTAGTGGACAGACGGGTGACGGGACACAGCAGGGTGGTCTGGAAGCGTGGGCCATCCTCCCCCTGGAAGGTCTCTGGAAGGACACCCTTGGAATCCCCCGACAAGGGCCTGGCATTCCAGGGGACCCAGGCTGGAGTGACCCCCAGCCCCTCCCTAGTTGCTAAGCACCTTTGGTCTGTTGGGTCCCTTGCCAGATGAGGGTCAATACCTAGGTCAAGCTGACTCCAGCCAGGGTGTGGGGACCCTGCTTCACAGACCCCAAACAGCTATCTCCTCTTATCACAGGCCAGAGAGGCAATGGGGGGTTCCCTAGTCAGGTACAGCCCCCTGGCCTGTGGCATCGTGTGGGTATGTGGGGAGATCCTGACATGCTCGGCTGGCAGCACCACTGTGGTTCCCGAGAGGATGACGCAGACCGCAGGCAGGTCCATTTGGAGCTCCTATTTCTTCATGGCTAACGTGTTTTTTGAGAGAAGCAGTCTCTAAGAGGGAGGAAGGACGGGGGAAGCCTGAGGGTGCCAAGGCGGGGGGCTGCCCCTCTCCTCAGGGCCCCAGGGTTCATGAAGAAGGGTCCCTGGTGGAGGCTAGGCCAGGCGGTGCCCTGATCAGGGCGGTCACGGGGTGCGCACACGGGCGGCTGTCTGCTGTCCTGGGTGGGGACAGTGGTGCCTGCGACCCCACAGAGTGCTGGTTGGGCTGGTGCTGGGGCCGCTGGACATAGATGGAAGGTAGAGGCAGGTGTGAGACCAAACACAGAACACAGTGCTGGGCAGAGCCCTGGGTCGCAGAAACACGTTCCGGTCCTGGAAGGACGCTGCAGAACTTCAGGGTGGGGGATGGCTGGACCCAGAGGGGGTGGCGCTGCTGGCACAGGGGAGGCTCAGGGGCCCCGCAGGCACTGAGGTGGGGACGGGGGAGGGGCCCTCTTGCCTTGGGGCCCCTGGTCAGGCCCTCAGTGTCCTTGGCAGTAGGCGGGGCTGGCTCAGAGGCCTTCAAGGACGGAGCTGTTAGCAGTGGAGGCGTGGAGGCAGCTGCCGTGGGCGTCGCGGGTGAGGCTGTAGGTGCAGTAGGCCACGGCGGAGCCCAGCGTCAGCCCCGACATGTAGGACACGGTCATGGTATTCCCTGTGGACGACACTGGCCTGAGGGGGGTGGGGGCGGGGGCGGCCACCTGGTGGCCACGGCTGCTCAGGTGTCAGAAGCGATGACAGCTGCCAGCTCCTGGAGCCCGTGACACCCACACCAACCGCGCCGCCCCTCTAGGACTGCTGCCCCCTTGCTCCTCCTTGGGAACACACTCCCCGGATCCTGTTCTTCCTCGTTCCTTCTCCCTGAGGCCATCTACTCTGTGCCCCAGGCCTCGCCTGCTTCTCTGGGTCCCCAGACTGGAGTGCAGTGGCACAGTCGTAGCTTCCTGCAGCCTTGACCTCCTTGGCTGGTCCTCCCACCACAGCCTCCGGAGTAGCTGGGACCACAGGCACACACCACCACGCCTGGATAATTTTGAAAAATTATAGAAACTTACACTGCCCAGGCTGGTCTCAAGCTCCGGGGCTCAAGTGATACTCCTACCTGGGCCTTTCAAAATGCTGGGACTACAGTCCTGCGCCAGTGTCCGGCCTCGTCCCTCCCCATTTTAATCTCCAGTCTTGGCCAGGCCAGGTGGCTCACGCCTGTCATCGCAGCACCTTGGGAGGCCGAGGCGGGCAGATCACGAGGTCAAGAGTTTGAAACTAGCCTGGCCAACATGGTAAAACCCCGTCTCCACTAAAAATACAAAAATTAGCTGAGTGTGGTATAGTCCCAGCTTCTCCGGAGGCTGAGGCTGCAGTGAGCTGTTATGCCACTGCACTCCAGCCTGGACAACAGAGTGACTCTCCATCTCAAAAACAAAAAAAAAAAAAAAAAAAAAAATTTGTAGAGGGGGTCTCACTGTGTTGCCCAGGCTGGTCTTGAACTCCTAGACTCAAGCGATCTGCCCACCTTGGTCTTCCAAAGCGCTGGGATTGCAGGTGTGAACTGCTGCACCCGGCCCCGGCTGCGTCCATATCTGGACAGTCAGCCTCACAGCACAGGGAGCGTTGTTTTGTCCCCACTTCGTCCCCAGTGCCTTGAAAAGCACTTGGTCCACAGGAAGGGCTCACCAAGTAGTTGTGGAACGAATGAATGAGTGAATGAATTAATTGAGTGAAGAATGTCCCCACACATACAGCCTCCCAGACGCTGACTCGAACCCCTGGAACCCAAATGCACCTTCTCATGGTCTGGCCTAGGTTTCCTCAAGAGGGGTGCATCATGCTGCTGGGAGGAGCCCCCCGACGCCCCATGGGCCTCACCTGCCAGCTCCCGCTGCTTGGGGCTCACTTTGCCAGCCGCCAGGATCATGGGCACGCTGCCGAAGTAGCCGTTGCTGATGCCCATGAGCAGCGAGAAGATGCAGGGCCAGGCGGGGTGGCGGAGGGTGGGCGTGCCGCTGGGGTAGACGCACAGGATGAAGAGAGGGATGAAGACCACTCGCAGACAGGAGCAGGCCAGCAGGTGGGTGCCCCGCCAGTCCACTGGCAGGGCTGCCAGGATCTGTGGAGAGCCAGGCACATAGGTGCCCTGCCCCAGCTGCAGGGACCCCTCCCCTCACACCCCCAGCCCCAAACACTCCTGGCCCCATCCAGCTCAGCCTGCACCACAGCCCTTCTCTGGATCACCCCTCTAAAATCCCCCAAATTGGCCAGGCGCCGTGGCTCACACCTGTAATCCCAGCACTTTGGGAGACCAAGACAGGTGGATCACCTGAGGTCAGGAGTTTGATATCAGCCTGACCAACGTGGTGAAACCTCATCTCTACTAAAAATACTAAAATTAACTGGGCATGGTGGAGGACGCCCGTAATCCCAGCTACTCGGGAGGCTGAGGCAGGAGAATTGCTTGAACCTGGGAGGTGGAGATTACATTGAGCTGAGATCAAACCATTGCTCCAGCCTAGGCAAGAGAATGAGACACTGTCTCAAAATAATCCCCCAAATTACAGAGTGAGACTCCATCTCTAAATAAATAATCCCCCAATTCCACTTAAATTTTTTTTTCCTTAAAGTCAGGGTATTGCTTTATCACCCAAGCTGGAGTGCAGTGGCACGATCATGGCTCACTGCAGCCTCAAACTCCTGGACTCAAGCAATCCTCCCACCTCAGGCTCCCAAGTAGCTAGGAATACAGGCATAGGCCACCACGCCTGGCTAAATGGGTTTTTTTTTTTCTCTTTTTGAGACAGAGTCTCACGCTGTCGCCCAGGCTGGAGTGCAGTGGCACGATCTCAGCTCACTACACCCTCCACCCCTTGGGTTCAAGTGATTCTCCTGATTAGCTGGGATTACAGGCATGCGCTACCACACCCAGCTAATTTTTGTATTTTCAGTACACACGGGGTTTCACCATGTTGGCCAGGGCAGTCTCAAACTCCTGGCCTCAAGTGATCTACCCATCTCGGCCCCCAAAAGTGCTGGGATGACAGGCGTCATCAGCCATTTCTTTGAGCCATTTCTCAGTGTCTCTGCCCTCTCTGGGTCCCCTCTGGGCCACCATCCTGTGCTCATCCCGGGGGGGCCTGTGACTGTGGGGCAAGAAGGTGAGCGCCACGCCCGTCCTCTGGGATGCAGCTGACACTCCAGAGCACCCCAGTGCGATCAGGCCAGGACCGCCCTCCACGGGACACTGTCCACGATGGTGCCAATGTGTGACTCTTGCCCTTTCCAGCCGGGAGCCCCAGGCATCCTTCACTCAGAACCCTCCCCGGATGGGCCAGGGCCTCCTCATCACCCTCACCACATGGCATCCCCCTACACTGGGCAGGATGGATGGCTCACCTTGCCCACGAAATCTGACAGGTTGAACACAGCCATGATGAGGATGGGCAGCCACTCGCCCAGGATGCAGTGCCGGATCTCAGACTCGAGGCCGGGGAACAGGCATAGGGTGATGAAGTAGGTCACGGCGATAGAAAGCATGTCAGCCCAGATCACTCGTGCCACCACGTAGCGGTGCAGCAGCAGGGCTAGGGGCGGCGGGGGGGAGGGTGAGAGGCAGTGTCCACAAGGACCCTTGCCTGCCTCCCCCACCCCCTGCCTGGGTGCCACCGCCAGGGCTGCAGAGGGACCCCTTGGCACTCACCTCTGAAGGTGGGCCAGCTGCGCTGGACCCTCGGCCGTGGCACGTCAAAGCGCATGTAGGCACCGCCACTGCTGGTCACCTCGTGGGCTGGGCTATCCTTTGGGGACCCGCTGGGGGCCAGGGCTGTGGCTGGGTGCTCCTGGAGGGAGGACAGAGTGGGATGGGGTTTGGGTGGAGGGGAGGACAGGAGACACAGGCCAGAGATCCTGGCCCAATCAGAAGAACTGCCACACTGAGGCTGATGCTGACATTCAGGTGGCACCTACTATGTGCAGACCCTCCTCCCCCTGCCGTCTCACTTTATCATCAAGGTGTCTCACTTCACATTTCTGTTTTAGAGAGAGGTCTTGCTCTGTTGCCCAGGCTGGAATGCAGTAGCGCAGTTACAGCTCACTGCAGCCTTGACCTCCTGGACTCAAGGGATCCTCCCGCCTTAGCCTCCCAATAGCAGGACCACAGCCCTGTGCTATCACCCCAGCTAATTTTTTTTTTTTTTTTTTGGCTGTGTTTTCTTTTTTGTAGAGACAGGGTCTTGCTGTGTTGCCCAGGCTGATCTCAAACGCCTGAGCTCAAGCGATCCTCCCATCTCGGCCTCCTGTATAGCTGGGATTGCAGGTATGAGCCACCGCGCCTGGCTGTCTCTCACTTCCAAGGCAGCAAATTCCAACTTGTCACTCCTGAGAACCCGCTACAAGCTTCTGACCAAACCAAGCAGACCACCCAGTTCCCAACGTTGCCCAGAAGCCCCTTGAGGGTTCCATGACCCCCTTGCTTCTCCCCTCCCCCAAACACACGGAGGTCCTCCCAGCCTCTGAGCCACAGCACACGCTTTTCCCTCTGCCCCAACACCCTTCCTGTAGGTCAGGTCTCAGCCCAAAAGCCCCTCCTCGGGCAACCTCCCTGACTATAAGAGGGGTATGCCCCTGCCCTGGCTTGTCCCCTTTTCATCCTGGGCCCCTCTCTGGGTCTGGGGGCTCCCCTGGGGACAGTGTTTCTGGCTCCCTTCAGTGTCCCCAGCCAAGGGCCCAGGTGACTCACTGGATCAAGGCCTGCACGACCATTCTGGTTCCGGACTCTCAGGAACAAGGACCAGTGGCTCCCCCAACCCCACTCTGCACGGCCTGGCACTCCTGACCTCACCCTGCAGGTATCCCCAGGCTGCACAGCTGCTGACCCTGAGCCTGGGGGGGGCTGTATAGCGCTGCTGCCATCAGAGGGCACCCCAGTCCCCCAGGACAGCTGCCTGCCCAGAGATGGGACAGGGTCACCCCCCGACAGGGGCTGTCTGTGCTGGGGACCCCACAGGGACAGTGCCTCTCTGTGGTGACAAAGAAACCCAGCAAAGACCAGGGCCACAGAACAAAGCTCCTGGCCCTCCCTTTCTGCCTGTCTATCGCCACCTGGGAGACCACTCCCTTTCCTGGCTGGCATCTTCTATGGGAAGTTCTGGGGGGCCATGCCCCCTCGGGGAACCCAGGGTTATCCCTGAGCCCTGATTTTCCTGCTGGTGTCCCGTCTCTAGGGAGGAAGGATGAGCTTCCTAGAGAGTTAGCTGCCAGGCTGAGCCTGCAGGAAGGACCCCCAATGTGGGGTGGCACAGCCAGGAGGGCCGAGAGCCCCAGAACAAACGTGGGCTGTCCCAGGGATGGAAACTAAATTTAGTGTACATCATGTGGGGTGTAACACTGCAGACAGGGACCATGCAGCCCCATGCCGAGGGACACGGCAGCTGGGCAGAGCCCCTGACCACAGATGTGGGTGGGATGAGCCTCAGGCCACAGGACATGAGGAGCCACTAAGAACCCACACCTGAGTCCACAGAATAAAGGTGGCTGGCGGGAAGGGACCTCCACCACAGCAGGGGGCCGCAGCCTGGGATGCAGGGGAGGGACTCGGACCCAGGTGGCATGTACTTCCCGACCTCGTGGTGGGGACAGAGGAGGGAACCCAGGCGGGAAGCGCACACTTACGAAGTGGACATCCCCGGCGGCGACATCGTGGTGCACGCGGTAGCCGGAGCTCGTGCCCAGGCCCGGCCTGCCCCGGCAGTTGTCGCGGGGCCGCGTGGTGTAGAAGAGCACGAAGCGGCTACGTCGCACCAACAGGTGCAGCAGGAAGCAAAGCATCTCCAGCGCCACCGACACCAGGAAGAAGATGAGCGTGCTGGCGCGCTCGTCGGGCAGCAGCAGCTTCGTGAGGATGCGGCTCAGAGAGATCATCACGCCTGCCGTGCCTGGAGGGCGCGCACCGAGGGCCTGGGCCTGATCCACCCGGCTCCTGCACCGCTGGCCCCACCCTCCACCCAGAGGCTCCTCTCACTAGCACTGGCCCATCCACACGCAGATCCTGCCCCACCCACCACCCACAGGCCCCTCCCACCACCCACAGGCCCCTCCCACCACCCACAGGCCCCTCCCACCCAACCAGACCTGCTCCACCAGCCCCTCCCAGCCCAGCTACAGCCCCTCAACTCAGCCTTGCCCCCACTAGGCCCCGCCCAGCCCCGTCCCCCCCCCCTCAGCTCAGCCCAACTACAGCCCACCCCATTCAGCTACATCCCCACTCAGCCCCACCCAGCTCCATCACACCCCCCACTCAGTTCCGCCCCACCCAGTTCCATCCCACCCTCTCCCTCAGCTCCCTGCCCTACCTCCCTTCCCAGTCCCGCCTCCTGTCACTCTGAGTCCGGTCTCTGCGGCCCCAACTACAGGTCCCCCCAGCCCCACCCCAGCCACAAGAGGAACTGCCCACAGGAGCTGCCCCTCACAGCTGTCCCTCCCCATCACACACCCCCACCATGGGGCATTTATCCAGTGCCTGCTCTGAGGACCCAGTGGGGCCAGGATGACACCCGGGCAGGGGGTGGAAAGGAATGGAACCGAAGCGGGCAGAGGTGGGGGACAGTTAGAGGACCGCTGTCCTGTTGTGGGAGGTCTTTGACACCGAGGTCTGCAGGACAGGGCTGGGAGTGCAGCCTGGGGAGGGTGTTCCTGGTAGAGGGGTGACTGTGAGCTCAGTGCTCATGTTTGAGGCTCTGGAAGCTGTGACTGGGCTCTCGAGGCCGGAAGGGAGGGCCGTGGGGTGGGCAGGCTGTGGGTTTTTCTCTTAGTATGGCCATGGGCCACTGCCCAGTGTGAGGTAAGGTGGATCAGGGCCATGGTGGGCCACCCCTGGAGGATGCGCAGGGCCCTCAGCTGCATAAACCACCAGACACCAATGTGCCAGCTCAATTCTGCACCTATTCTGGCTCAGCCACACTACAAAATCTACCAGCCAGTGACAGGAACCAAGACCTCACAGATGGGAGTCTGGGAGCTCCGGGGAGTCTGGGAGCTCCGGGGCGTCTGGCCAACCTCAGCACCAGGCAGAAGGTTGCAGAACCCCCCTCAAGGGGAGAAACGAGCCAGATCCACGTGGGTCTTGACCTGGGGTTTCTGCTTCCTGTCTGGACAGCACTGACCCTGGCTGGTCCAGGCATAGAATGAAGACTGGGAACCCTTAGAGGAAGGGGCTTCAGTGCACAGTGTCGGTGCCAGGGGCCAGTGCTGCCCCTCTGCAGGGGCTGGAGCCCAGGGCACAGATCTAGGACTTGGAGAGGGCCAGGTGTCATGTAAGGTTCAGGCATGAGCAAGGGGGTACCATTTGCTGAGAAGGGCAGGTGTGAGTGGCAGGGTGGGTGGAGAAGACATGAGTTTGAGAAGCCTGTGAGACACCCACATGGGGTGCCAAGCACGGGGTGGCTGGTGCGTCCGTGGCTGCAAGGAGAACGTGGTGCTGTAGGCATGGCGTGATGTCCACGACACACGCACACGCAAACTTACAAAATGCACACCCAGCCACATGCTGAGAGAGGCATCAGCTTCTCCTAACACCAAGGATCACAGGCCCCAGAAACACAGCACACACATGCGTGTGCCCATGTCCCTCCCATGGGGGAGTCCACCTCCTTTCTCCCCCAGCCAGGCCAGGAAAGATGGTGATCGCTGTCCCTAGTTCACTCTGCCCAGGGATTGTGAGCCTTCCTCCTAGACCGGGCACATCATGCGGAGTTCCTGGGAAGAAGCTTCCAAAGCCCAGGGCAGCCCAGCGCCCCCTCCCCAGGGGTTCTGCAGATACTCACTCTCCCCGGTCATGACCCCCTGTGTGTACCGCTTGGGCAGCATCCCCGTGTACCCGTAGAAGCTGGATTGCTGCACTTGAGAGAGAGAGAGAGGAAAAAGCCAGAGACACCATTATCACCTGTCAACTTGGGCGAAATTCACTAGCTTGAGGGAACTATTTTGGTGGACAAGGGTGCGTAAACAGCCATTAATGCCACTAATGGCAGAGAGATTTAACACAGCAGTAGGAACACACAACCGGTGTACCCTTGCAGTCAGCCAGGGTCACTGACAAGCTCTGGCGGTTGAAACGTCTGCAGAAATGACACCTCACTTCTGGGTAAGGCAGTGAAAAGCCCGCATGGACTTTCAACCTTTCTTCTTCCCATGGGCAGGGACAGAAGACGCCATGTGTTATGGATTAGGGAGAGGACTGTCTGCCTGAGGCCCTGAGAGACCATGTGGAGCCGAACATCCTTCACCCTCCAGACAGGAGAGGCAGCAAGAGTGAGCGGCCAGCCTTGTTCTATGGAGCCATTGAGATTTTGGAGCTAATGTGTATACAGCAATACCCTCTCTCATCCTACCTAATACAGCCAGAAATCCATCAGGATCTAGGGGAAATAAAAGTACACAGGTCCATACCTTGAGGTCTGGCAAATCCATGCCTGGAAGTAGCCTTGGGGGCAGTCTTTGTCTAACTAAAATCTTCTGGTTAAGGCTGGGCACAGTGGATCACACCTGTAATCCCAGTGCTTTTGGAGGCTAAGAAGGGAGGATCGCTTGAGTCCAGGAGTTCAAAACTGGCCTGGGCTACAAAGTGAGATTTTGTCTTTACAATTTTTTTTTTTTTTTTTTGAGACAGTCTCAAACTTTGGGAGGCCAAGGCCAGTGGATGAGTTTAGGAGTTCGAGACCAGCCTGGCTAATATGATGAAACTCCGTCACTACTAAAAATATAAAAATTAGCTGGGTGTGGTAGCGGGCGCCTGTAGTCCCAACTACTCAGGAGGCTGAGGCAGAAGAATTTCTTGAACCAGGGAGACGGAGGTTGCAGTGAGCCAAGAATGAGCCACTGCACTCCAGCCTGGGTGACAGACAGAGCAAGACTCTGTAAGAAAGTAAGTCTACAAAGCAACTGGACTGGACCCTTGCAAAATGTAACTGTCATGAAACACAGAGGGAGGTGGAGGACCGTCCTGGATTAAAGGAAAGGTGTGAATCTGGAGAGGATGATAGGTCAGAAAAAAAAAATGCTACAAAGGACATTATCGGGATGATTGTAGAAATTCGAATATGGATTGTAGCTTAGATAACAGTATCACATCAGTGGTAAGCTGCCCAATTTTGGCAACTATAATCTGGTTATAAAAGAAATGCCGGCCAGGCATGGTGGCTCACGCCTGTAATCCCAGCACTTTGGAAGGCTGAGGCGGATGAATCATGAGGTCAGAAGTTTGAGACCAGTGTGACCAACATGGTGAGACCCCGTCTCTACTAAAAATACAAAAAAAATCAGCTGGGTGTAGTGGCACGCACCTGTCATTCCAGCTACTCCGGAGGCTGAGGTAGGAGAATCGCTTAAACCCAGAAGATGGAGGTTGCAGTGAGCCAAGATCGCACCATTGCACTCCAGCCTGGGCGACAGAGTAAGACTCTGTCTCAAAAAAAAAAAAAAAAAAAAAAAAAAAGGCTTGGCTGTTAGAAAATACACTCTGGGCCAGGTGTGGTGGCTTATGCCTGTAATCCCAGCACTTTGGGAGGCTGAGGTGGACAAATCACCTGAGGTCAGCAGTTTGTGACCAGCCTGAGCAATATTGTGAAACCCCGTCTCTACTAAAAATACAAAAAAATTAGCCAGGTGTGGTGGTGTGCCTGTAATCCCAGTTACTTGGGAGGCTGAGGTAGGAGAATCACTTGAACCCAGGAGGCGGAGGTTGCAGTAAGCCAAGATCATGCCATTTCACCCCAGCCTGGTGACAGAGCGAGACTGTCTCAAAAGAAAAGAAAAGAAAAGAAAAGGAGCCGGGCTCAGTGGCTCACACCTGTAATCCAAGCACTTTGGAAGGCTGAGGCGGGTGGATCACCTGAGGTCAGGAGTTCAAGACAAAAAGTTTTTTATTAAAAAAAAAAAAAAGCCGGGCGCGGTGGCTCACGCCTGTAATCCCAGCACTTTGGGAGGCCGAGGCGGGTGGATCACGAGGTCAAGAGATCGAGACCATCCTGGTCAACATGGTGAAACCCCGTCTCTACTAAAGATACAAAACATTAGCTGGGCATGGTGGCGCGTGCCTGTAATCCCAGCTACTCAGGAGGCTGAGGCAGGAGAATCGCCTGAACCCAGGAGGCGGAGGTTGCGGTGAGCCGAGATCGCGCCATTGCACTCCGGCCTGGGTAACAAGAGTGAAACTCCGTCTCAAAAAAAAAAAAGAAAACATACTCTGAAGTATTAGTAATTAGGCAAGAAAGGTGATGACGTCTACAACTAACTCTCAAATGGTGTATGGGAAAATAGGTATTATCTTAAATGTATATATACTTAGAAATTTATGTACAGAGAGAGGGGTGGGGGCAGGGGAGAGTGCTCATATGGGATTTCACTGTATTATTCTTGCAAGCTTTCTGTAGGTTTGAAATTTTTGCAAAATAAAAAGTAGTTTTCAAAAAAAGTTTGAGCTCTCTCCTTGCCAGCCACCATCCACGTGAGACATGACTTGCCCCTCCTTGCCTTGAGCCACGATTGTGAGGTCTCCCCAGCCACATGAAACTGGCTCACTCTGTCACCCAGGCGGAAGAGCAGTGGCACAACCATCCTGCAGTCTCAATCTCCTGGGCTCGATGATCCACCCACCTCAGATTCCTCAGTAGCTGAGACTATAAACGTGTGTCACCATACCAAGCTAATTTTTTTCCAAATTATTTTTTGTAGAGATAGGACCTCACTATGTTGTCTAGGCTGGTCATGAACTCCTATCCTCAATATAATATTCTTAATGTTCACAGTATGAAAGTCTCATAGAATGTATACAAAATAAATTGTAGTGACTTTAAGAAAAAAAAAAAAAAAAAAGTTTGAAAGGCTAGGCACAATGGCTCATGCCTATAATACCAGCACTTTGGAAGACCAAGGTGGGAGGATTACTTGGGGCTCAGGGTTTAAGACAAGGCCAGGTGCGGTGGCTCACACTGGTAATCTCAGTACTTTGGGAGGCTAAGGCAGATGGATCACGAGGTCAGGATTTCAAGACCAGCCTGGCCAACAGAGTGAAACCCCGTCTCTACTAAAAATAAAAAAAATTATACAGGCATGGTGGCAGGCACCGGTAATCCCAGCTACTCGGGAGGCTGAGGCAGGAGAATTGCTTGAGCCCAAGAGGCAGAGGTTGCAGTGAGCCGAGATCGCGTCACTGCACTCCAGCCTGGGCAACAGTACAAGACTCTGTCTCAAAAAAAAAAAAAAAAAAATTCTCAAGACTAGTCTGGGCAATACAGAGAGACCCCGTCTCTACAAACAATTTTTAAAAAGTAGCCAGGCTTGCCAGGTGCAGTGGCTCATGCCTGTAATCCCAGCACTTTGGGAGGCCAAGGCGGGTGGATCACCTGAGGTCAGAAGTTCAAGACTAGCCTGACCCACATGGTGAAACCCTGTCTCTACTGAAAATACAAAAATTAGTTGGATGTGGTGTCGGGTGACTATAATCTCAGCTACTCAGGAGGCTTAGGCAGGAGAATTGCTAGAACCCAGGAGGCAGAGGTTGCAGTGAGCTGAGATCATGCCATTGCACTCCAGCCTAGGGAATAGGGCGAGACTCTGTCTCAAAAAAAAAAAAAAAAAAAAAATTTAGCCAGGTTTTGTGGCATGTACCTGTGGTCCTAACTACTCGGGAGGCTGAGGTGGGAGGAGGATGGCTTGAGTCCAGGAGGTTGAGGCTGCCATAAGCTATGACCATGCCACTGCACTCCAGCCTGGGGAACAGAGTCAGACCCTGCTGAAAGCCACTGCTCAAGAGAAACAGTGATACAGTGACAAAGCGGAACAGTCCTTGAAGCCAGGTTTATACCAGGGAAACAAGGGGCCGCCTCAGGGTCTCTGTGGCTACACACTGTGCATACCTGCATGCTGGCACGCAGGTGGATGCACACACGGCACCCAGCCAGTCTGGCTTCCATCACACCACATGCCACCAGCAGGAGACCGGGGCTGGGGGGGACAGAGCTGGAAGTGGGCACTCAGGGCTTCACCCCTGGTCCCCAGTTCTTACCTGTGCAGCCGAAGGCCACAGTGCCCACAGCGGCCAGGTTGATGGCGTAGGCCTGGTCCCGAGAGAAGAGCTGCAGCCACACGTCGCAGATGCTGATAAAAAGGAGAGGGCCCAAGGCTAAGAGGTAGCCTGTTGGGGGAGAGTCCAGTGAGGGAGGTGGTGGAGCCAACTGGGTGGGGGTCCCCCTCCTCCCCGCCCCTCCTGCAGAGTCGGTCTGAGGCTTTCTCTGCCCTTCCCCCTCAAGGAGGGCCCAGGGATGCTTTTTAAGTCTAACAGGGGCATCCAGAGGGCTTCCTGGAGGAGGAGCCGCTTGAGCCGGGCTTTGAAGCTGGATGTCACTGTGTGGAGGAATGGGAAAGGCAGAACACACTGGGTGTGCGGAAGAGCTTGGGCGGGGCCCAGGGACGTGAGGTGGGGTACAGAGGCCCCACTACAGCCAGACCTCATCTTACACCAGACCGCAGGGCATCCCTAGGAAGCGTGCCCATTTTACAGACAGAGGATCGAGGCTCAGGGAAACTGGGCGAGTGGGTGACTGGCCAGGTGTCACGTGGCGGGGCCCAGCGCACCTGCGGTGATCCTGGTGTGCAGGGTCAGTCTCTCCACCAGGACGTTGTTCAGTAGCACAGCTGCCAGCGCCACCAAGATGTAGGTGAGGCTCATGTCAAACACGATGGAGGTCCCTGCGGAGGGCCAGAGGCAGCAGGCGCTCAGGGAGGCCCCACCCTCTGCATTGACCCCTGCCGGGTGCAACCTCGCAGGAGGGGCTCGCTGCCCAGTGAGGGTGAGTGGCTGCCGCGAGGCCACGCAGCAGCTAACAGCGGAGCCGAGAGCTGAATAAAACGGGTCCCTGGGTAGGACCCTCCCCACTGGGGGTCTCTGGAGGCCCCAGGCCATGATGGAGCACCCTGAGTGTCTGGGCATGGCCGTGGAGAGACCCACCTGGGTACTTGTGATGCAGATAGTCCACGTCCGTGATGAAGCTGTTGTACGGGAGCAGGAAGCCCACACCAGCCAGCAGCATCGCAAAGTAGATGGCGTGGTAGCGGTCATCGGGCACCGGCTCCTCCAACGCTAAAGCCGAAGACTCTAGGTGAGATGGGGGCAGGCTCCATGCATGGCCATGGCCACTGCCCAGGGCAATGTCCACCACCCCAGCCACCATCACCATGGCTACAGTCCATCGCTGTGACCTCTGCTCCCCATACCTCTGTCATTGTGCACATTATCAAAAGCCACCAAACCCTGTGGCTATGGCCACCACACCCACGCCATCACAGCCACTGAAGCTGCCGCTTGATGGACAGGAAACCGGCTCATGCCTCTAATCCCAGCACTTTGGGAGACTGAGGCGGGCAGACCATGAGGTCAGGAGTTCGAGACAAGCCTGGCCAACATGGTGAAACCCCGTTTCTACCAAGATACAAAAAATTAGCTGGGTGTGGTGGTGCACGCCTGTGGGCCTGTAGTCCCAGCTACTTGGAAGGCTGAGGCAGAATAGCTTGAACCCAGGAGGTGGAGGTTGCAGCAGTGAGCTGACGTCACACCACAGCACTCCAGCCTGGGCAACAGCATGAGACTGTTTCAAAAAAAAAAAAAAAGGATATGGAAGAAGAAGAGTGAACACCCTCTGCCTGTCCTTCTGGGGAAGGGGGCAGCATGTTTGGGGTTGTACAGGGTTCATGTAGCATGCTCGGTAGCAGTATGACCTTGCCTCTGCCTTTGTCTGGAGAGGAAGCATCGTCTAGGAAGATGTGTGTGGGAGTCACACTGGCAAGAGAGGGACTGTGACAGTCTGTTTCATGGTCACCGTGGCAGGCGGCAGCACAGTCCCCAATTCAAACACTAACCCTGGTGCTGCTGTGAAGCCGTTTTGCAGTTAAAGTCCCCTCTCTGTTAACTTTAAGTTCATCGAAAGGGAAATGACCCTGAGTGGGTCTGACCTAGCCGGGTGAGACCTTGAGACCCTCCTGGAGTGGAGACACCAAGAAGCCCCTGCCCGTGGGTCCCAGACTGTCCATGACCTTCCCGACTGCCTGCCTGGCTCAACCAGCTCCTGCTTGCTTTATTTTTTCTGACACGGAGTCTCGCTCTGTCACCTAGGCTGGAGTGCAGTGGCGTGATCTCGGCTCACTGCAACCTCCACCTACCAGTGATTCTCCAGCCTCAGCCTCCCGACTAGCTGGGACTATAGGTGTGCACCACCACGCCTGACTATTAGTATTTTTAGTAGAGACAGGGTTTCACCATGTTGGCCAGGCTGGTCTAGAACTCCTGACCTCAGGTGATCCACCCACCTTGGCCTCCTAAAGTGCTGGGATTACAGGCCTGAGCCACTGCGCCTGGCCACCAGGTCCTACTTTAGTAAGCCAATTTCTTTTTTTTTCCAGACAGAGTCTTACTCTGTCGCCCAGGCTGGAGTGCAGTGGCATGATCTTGGCTCACTGCAACCTCTGCCTCCCGGGCTCAAGTGATTCTCCTGCCTCAGCCTCTGAAGTTGCAGGGATTACAGGTATGTGCTATCACGCCTGGCTAATTTTTGTATTTTTTGTAGAGATGAGGTTTTGCCAGGTTGCTCAGGCTGGTCTCAAACTCCTGGGCTCAAGCAATCCTGCTGCCTCAGCCTCCCAAACCGCTGGGATTATAGATGTGAGCCATAGCGCCCAAACTTAACTCAGGTTTCTGAGCCTAAACTATTAGCAACAACAGCAGCTCCCCCAAACAGAGCTATAGCTAACAGGGTACCTCCTGAGTGCTCAGGACAGGCCCAAGCAAAATTCTGTGGATTGTGGTGGAATCACATTAACACAGCATCATCCCCTTTTCCAGAGGAAGAGACCGGGGGCCAGAGAAGAACAGTGACTTGACCAGGGGCTCCTGGTGGGTAAGGGAGGAGAGGCGGCCTGGAACCCGAGCCTGTTAGACTCCAAGCCTGTGGGCTGTCCATTCTGCAAGTCTGATCTCAAACTCAGTTGTCCCAGTTCCTCAATGTAGTGAAACTGAGGCTCAGAGAGGCTTAGGCCCTTGCCTAAGGTCACACAGCTGCGCTCAAAACCAGGTCTTTGAACCTCATATCCAATCCCATTTAGGCACTTTCCTACCTCCTTTGCAGTGAGGCACGACTTGCTTTGGCCAATAAATGTGACCCAAGTGACACGTGTCAGTCCAGATAGAAGCTTTATGGGTCAGTGCAAGAGCCACACGTCCTTTCATCAGTGAGGAGAAAAGCCCATATTAAGACAGCCTCCTCTGCCTGGGGCTGTTGGCAGGGCCCCTAGTGACCTGCATGGGACACACAGCATCAGGGCGGAGGCACTGAGACCGTGGGCATGTTTGTTACGCAGCAGATCTAATCCGCACTGATAGGCACTACCTCCAGTGCTCTATGACCACCCACGGCTCCCTGCTGCCCCAAGGCTTCACCGGGGGGTCACACAGCCCACCCTGCTTTGGGGGAGACACACACCTTGCCCACACCCCTACTCACCGGAATCCATGAAAGCTGGGACACCCCGGGCCCTAAGGCCCTGGCCCTGAGCCGCCTCTGCTGCCTCCTCCAGCTGGTAACTGTCGAAGCTGAAGCTCATCACTATGCCCCGGTCTGGTGTGCCCACCACGCTGGGCTCCTCAAGGCGCTGGCTCCCGACAGAGCCCATGGCAGCCTGTGCTTTGGAGAAAGCAGAGAGAGCAGAAGAGTGAGAAGATAACCCAGCCCCAATGCCACGTGGCCTGGACCGTATCCCCTGGGAGGGGGACCATCCTTTCTGTCCATTCCAGAGGACATTAATTTAAGCAGATAAGCAACGTCACCTGATGTGTCTTTTTTTTTTTTTGAGACAGGGTCTCACTCTGTCACCTAGGTTAGAGTGTGGTGGCACAACCGTCACTCATTTCAGCCTCGACCTCCTGGGCTCAAGTGATCCTCCTGATTCAGCCTCCCAAGTAGCTGGGACCACAGGTGTGAACCACCATGCCTGGCTAATTAAAAGAAATTTCAGGCCAGATGCAGTGATTCACGCCTATAATCCCAGTACTTTGGGAGGCTGAGTTGGGCTGATCACGAGGTCAGGAGATCGATTCCAGCCTGACCAACATGGTGAAACCCCGTCTATACTAAAAATACAAAAGTCAGCTGAGTGTGGTGGTGTGCGCCTATAATCCCAGCTGCTCAGGAGGCCGAGGTGGGAGAATCGCTTGAACCTGGGAGGCGGAGGTCACGGTGAGCTGAGATTGTGCCATTGCACTCTAGCCTGGGCAACAAAGCAAGACTCTGTCTCAAAAAAAAAAAAAAAAAAAAAAAAAAAATTTCTTTTTGTAGAGACGGCATCTCACTACATTACCCAGGCTGGTCTCCAACTCCTACCCTCAGCCTCCCAAAGTGCTGGGGTTACAGGTGTGAGCCACTTCACTTTGCCCTCACCTGGTGTGCCTAAAGATGCTAATCCTCACTGCTATCTAGGGAGAAAGGGTCGGAGGGGAGGAGAATGGCTCAGAGCTGCCCCAGTGAGCAACCAAGGTAGCCTGCATGGTGGCAGCAGCCATGGTGAGAAATAAGACGGGAATGGAGGAATACTTTGGAGGTGCAATACGAGGACTTGGGCAGCAGTCAGAAATAACAGACGATGTGAGTGAGCCTTATGCATGCCTGCACCGGGCTGCCAGGTGTCCTCTGGGAGGAAGTGCCTTTATCACTCATTTTTCAGCCAAGGAAAGTGAGAGTCCCCTTGGTCTCACAGGCAGAAAGTGGGTGAACCCAGACTCCAGCCCTGGTCTGTGTGGTGCTCTGAGCCACGATGGCCCTTGGTCCTGGGGCCAACCACCTTCGTGGCAGGAAGTTCTTCCTGTGATCTTGCCTCAGTGTTTCTTGCTTCAGTTTGGACCTGCCAGCCTTTACCTTCAGGAGGGCGCTAACTATCTGTGGTGGACACGCTTGCACTGTGTAGGCAGCCCTGTGTGTGCCTGGGGCAGGCTAGCTTTTCCCCTAAAACAATGATTTATTTTCCTAATACTGTGTGTTTATTTATCTGAATGCAGAAAGGATCTGCGCTCGCTGTAGGTAGTTTGAGGCTAACGGGAAGAGAGGACAGCCCAGCACTGGGCACTGAATGTAGTGCCTCAGTTTCCTCAGTATGTGGGAAGGCCGTATAAAGGGCTCTAAGAAGCCCACCCCACAGGGGTCCCACAGGCCCAGAAGCACCTTGAATTTTTTTTTTTTTTTTTTTTTTTGAGACAGAGTCTCACTTTGTTGCCAAGGCTGGAGTGCAGTGACATGATCACAGCTCACTGTAGCCTCTGCCTCTGGGCTCAAGAGATCCTCCCGTCTCAGCGTCTTAAGTAGCTGAAACAGGTGTGCACCACCAGGCCTGGCTATTTTTTTTTTTTTTTTTTTGTAAAGATGGGGTCTCACTATGTTACCCAGGCTGGTCTTGAATTCCTGGGCTAAAGCAATCCTCCCACCTTGGCCTCCCAAAGTGCCGGGATTACTGGTGTGAGCCACTGTACTCGGCCCACCCTGATTTTCTCTGGGGCTGACTCCTGTCACCTCTGCCTGTTCTTGTCCCATCTCCTGGGTCTTATTTCCTTCAGCTCTCCTGCCTTGGTTTACCCCCTTCCCAGCCTCCAGGCAGGTTTTGATTATCAGTTACCAAGCACCTCCCTGTAACCCCATGTCCCCCTCTTCTAGCTCACTACAAGAGTTTTAACTGGGGCCTGAAAGCGGGCCTGGGGGCCTCACTGGGGCTTTGAAGCCAGAGCCTTCCCATTTCCAGGTCGTGGGGGGCTGGGGAGATTCAGCCCCTGACAGCTGGGGGCCATCCCAGGTGACTGGTACCCACTACTAGGGGAGAGGCAGTCCTGGACTTCTGGGGTCTGGGAAGCCCAGCGTACCTCTGCTTCTAGGCTCAAGGCTCCCCTGAGTGCCCTTCGCCAGCCCTGGCCCCTCCTGCCACATCTGGAGCTGGGGAAGCGCAGCTTAGGCCAGGGCTGGGCTGGGCTGGGCTTCTTGAATGAGGGTGGCCCTGGGCCAGCTCCCACATACCTGTCCTCGCCTATAAAATGGACACATGAGCCTGATCTCAAGAGTCGCTGGGAGGCGCCAGAGAGTCAGCGAAGGCTGAGAGACCCTGGGGCCCCTCTTCAGCCTGCAGGGCCAGGGAAGGGGATGGTGCCAGGGTAACAGTCTACAACAATCAGCTGCTCCTCCTGCCACCTGCTCAGGATGCCAGCTCAGCCCAGGACGACGTCCGAACCCGGAAAGGCCTGGTCCGTGTTCAGCAAGGGCCCCCGAGACACTGCCCTGGGCCTGCCATGCCCCGAACACTCCTGGCCAAAGCCCAGGTTTCCACCTCATCCCGAGGCCACGCCACCTGGGAAGGCGGACACACTCGGCATCGGGCCAGGAGGCGGCTGCTGTCCTTCTGGCTCATTTGGCAAGGTGGGCAGCTGCCACCCACACTGCCCAGCTTGGCCAGCCACTGTCCCCATAGTGGAGGGGGTGGGGTGCCTGCGGCAGCTGCTACCCCCACCTCTCCTGGGCCAGAGGCTTCCATCTCTGTCCTCCCCAAACCCCAGCATCCAAGCTTCTCCTGGCTCTGGGAGGCAGCCCGGGCCAACCCCCATCGTCCCCTCCTGCCCTGCCCCCCTTAATTAAATTTAACGACATGCACAGTGCTTAACAGCCCCAGCAGGTACAGGTCTTGGCCCTGCTCCTCCACTCTGAGCTGCCAGGACCCCTCAATGCCCACCCCAGGGGGCCGCTGAGAAGAAACAAGTCATTTCTTTGGCCTTGAGGCCACCCCTCAGGTCTGTTGCCCTACATCACAACTCAATAGAGGAGGAGGAGGGTGACCGTATGTCACAAACAGGGACTGGGTGGGTGGCTGGTGGGGTAGGCTCGGTTGTACACAGTAGGCATTCAACAGTTGCACAAGCTGCCACTTAAACACTGCTGTGGGCAAAGCAGGGCTCCCACCCCTCCCCCCTTCCGTTTTTTTTTTTTTTTTTTTTTTTTTTTTTGGGAGGCGAGGTCTTGCTCTGTTGCCCAAGCTAGTCTTGAACTCCTGGTTTCAGATGATCCTTCAGCCCCAGCCTCCCAAAGAGCTGTGATAGCAAGAGTGAGCCACTGCGTCTGGTCAAGGTCTCCCACCATTCTGCAGGGAGGGTGACTGAGGCACAGAGAAGTCAAGTGGGGGGGGGCGGTCATAAGGCTCAGACTGGAGCCTGGTCCAGTGACCCCCTCCGGCTCCTCCCATTTCAGCGGGGCCTGCAGTGCACCTCGGTTCTGAACGTGGCCGGGGGCACCACGAAGCGCTGGCCTCATTCTGGGGCCGCGCTCCTCTGGCCAGCCAGGCAGGACCAGGGGAACCGAATTCCACCTGGAAAGCCGGCCTGGGCTCGCACTCCTGGCTCAACCACCATCCCTGATGCCTAGGACACCCCCAGTCTCGGTTAACCGACTAACCGGGGCTAACGATGTCTCTGCTGCCCGTTCAGCAGCCCAGTGAGTCTAAGCTGCTCCGACTCCTGTCGGCAGGATGGTGGGTTCCAAGCCCCTCCGGCCACCCCCTTCCTGCAGCCCCAAGGCACCAGGGCATGCAGGGGCCACAGGCTGGCCCCCGGCCCACCGCCCTCCCCGGACCGGTCCCCGCACTTTTCTGCGCCCCCTCCTCGGCCCCATCAGCCGCGAAGTTGGCTCGCAGACCTGAGCCCCCGGGCAAAGGGCAGAACCCCGGAGCCGCCCCGAGGTGACCCCGGAGCCCAGGCTCCGCCTCTCCCAGCCGCTTTTCCGAGAACTAGGAGGGGGCCGGCGCGGGCAGAGGGGGCGACGGGGGGTCCGGGGAAGAACTTCGGGAGGGAGGTCCCCCGCGCGGTGCCCGGGGAGGCGGTGGCGCCGAGACCCCGCACGGTCGGGCCCCGGGGTCCGGGTCCGCGCTGGTCGCCGGGCGGAGGGGGCCGGGCCGCTCCGAACACAGCGGAGGTCGCCTCGGGTTCCCGGGATAGGGGCCGGCGGGGTAGGGGGAGCAGCGCCCGAGCGGGCGGGAGGGTTTGGGGGGCCGCGCGCCGCAGACAAAGGCTCCGACAGGTCCCCGCCGGCGTCTCCCCGCGCCCCGCGCGTCCCCGCCCCGCGGCCACCCGCTTACCTTGGCCCAGCCCGGCCTGGGGTCCTCAGCGCGCCTGATCCTGCGCGCCAGCGCCCCGCTCCCGCAGCCTCGGGCCGGGCGCGGCCGGCGTCCTCCGCCGGTCCCCGAGTCCGCCCGGCCCTGGTCCGCGAGCGCGTGCTAGGGGCGCAGCCGCGGAAACGAGCACAGCCCCGCCCCCCACGCCCGCCCCGGCCTCCTCCCCCCCCCCTCCCCCCGCCCAGCTTTCCCCTTACCCCCCCCACTCTCCTCCTCCACCCCCACCTCCTCCTCCTCTTCTCTCCACCCTCTCATTCCTCCCTCCACTTCTCCCTCCTCCCTTCCCATCCTCCCCTCCCTCCATCCTCGTCCACTTCCACCCTCTCACTCCTTCTTCCATGCTCTCTCCCCCTCCTCCCCACTCCTCCTCCTCCCTCCTTCTACCTGGTCACTCCTTCCTCCCCATTCCTCCTCTCTTCCCCTTCCACTCCCTCCTCTTTCAGCCCCTTCTCTCTCCTCCGCTTCCTCCTCATCTTCCCCACTCTTTCTCTTTCCCTCCCTCCTCCCCCTCCCCCTTTCTTCTGCTTCCCTCTCCCTCCTTCTTCCTCCCCTCCTCCCCCTCCACCCTCCTCCCTCCCTCTCCCTCCCCCTCCTTCTCTCTCCCTCCTCCCACCCTTCCCCTCCTCAGAAGTCTTCCATTACCCTCCTCCTTCCCTCCTCTCTTCTTCCCTCCTCTCCCCTCCTCCCTCTCCCTCCTCCTCCTTCCCCATTCCTCCCTCATCCCCCTACTCAATCCTCCTCTCTTCCCTCCTCCCTCTCCAACCCTCCCACCTTCCTCCCCTCTGCCATCCCCACTCCACCTCCCCTCCTCCATCCTTCTCCCCTTCCTTTTTCCTCCCCTCCTTCCCCTTCCCTCCCCTCTCCTCCATTTTCTCCGTCCTCCCCTCTGCTCTCATCTCCTTTCTTCTTTTCTCTCCCTCTCCCTTCCCCCTTTCCTCTCCTGTCGCCTCCCCCCTCCCCACTCTGCTTTCCATCCAGCTGGTCTGTGCTGGGGCCAGGCCCAAGCTGAGGCTGAAATCAGGATCCCCCATGCACCAGGGTACGGCATGGCGGCCCCAGGAGACCCGGTGACCTTCGGCTGACCCAGCCCACCCTCTGCTGCCCACCCCCTCCGCTGCCCACCCCTCAGCCTTGGTGCCTAGGCTGCTCCTAACCAGGTCCCATCACCTGCAAGGCCAGCAACGCTGGTGGGTGGGTAGGTTCAGTCACGAGGCCACTGGGTGACCAGATAGAAAGTTTTGGAAGATGGGTAGGAGTTCACGTACTGGAGAAGGTGCTGAGAGCGTATCCAGCCAGGATCGGGGGTCACAGCCGACCCTAGTCATGCCCTCACTTGGTCCCTACCTCCACCCCATCCCTTTCTCCTCCCAGCGTGGGCTCGAACTGACTAGGTTGTTTCCCGTGACTCGTGACTCCGTTTTCTCCCAGGTGAATGGAATTATCAGCCCGCCCTCTTTTGCATCTACTCACCTGTAGCCTCAGCTCATTCTCCCCCTTAAGCCCCTCTTTTCCATCTACTCACCTGTAGCCTCAGCTCATTCT